AAAAAAATATAATAAATAAAACTAGTATTAAAATATAATATATATAAATTTTATAATTTTTGGTTATATAATTAAGGATTTAAAAATTATCAAAGTTGAAATTTATAATAAAAATATAGTAAGTGGACTCAAACTTTTGGAAGCAACTGTAGATAATAAAGCTTATAAAAAAGTACCAAAAAAAATTAAAATATAATTAATTTTTTATAGAACTAGTTAAATAAGATCTATTAATAAAAATAAGAAACTAAAATATAAAGAAAGAAAAATTAGAATCATAGTTAGAAAATTAATACTTTATTATTAAAAGAAGGTTTTGAATCACTTTAGAAAAAAATTATGAAATAAAAGATATAAGAATATAATAGAATGAAAGAAAGTTTATAAAATTTTCAAAAGAACAAGATAAATAAATTCACAAGGTCTTATATAACAAGAAAAATAAGAAATACAAAAAATAGAAGAAAATAATAAAAAAAGAATATCCAAGTAAAGGTTTTATTAAAATAATAATAGTAAAAATCAAAAATAAAATAAAATAATTAAGATTTTAAGCTTAATCAAAATTTCAAATAATAATTTGCAATATTAAAACTATAAACAATAATATTAATTATAAAAGAGTTTTAACTTAAACTATAAATAAAATAATAAATTATTTTCAAAGTTATACTTAAAATTTGAGACAAATTAAAATAAATAAGTTAGTTAGAAATTTGGTTTTAATAATACTATAATCCATATAACTTATATTATATTTAATAAAATATATATAACTAACTTGAAAAAAATAATAAAATATATCTGTAATAGTGACCTGCAGGTTATTAAGTTAGCAATTGGAAGAATTTTTATCTAAACTACTAATAAAGCAATAAATTATTTCTGAAGTTATATTTAGAATTTTAGAAAATTTATAAAAATAAGTAAATTGAATAGAGATTTAGCTTTAGTGAAGCATTTTAAATATAAAGAATATAAACATTTAATAAAGCATACATACCTAGCCTGATTAAGGATTTTTTCAAAAAAAATAATAATAATAATAATAAATATATATTATTATAAAGTTATTGTATATCTTTTTATTATTTTATTTAAGAACTTAAGATTCTATTTGATTCCTAAAATTATATTTCAAGTTGTTTTAAAAAAAGTATTAGGTAAAGAAATGAAAAAACTTTTTGTAAATATCTTTTTTATATACTATATAATCAAAGAATTAGTGAAAAGAATTTTTTATATATAAAATTTAATTATAATATATAATATATCAGTTCAATTTTGTATAACTATGTTGTTATGTAATAAATTAAATAGAATTTATTTTAAATGAATTTATATTATTTACAATAGGATCGTCATGAAAAATTTTCGCAACTAGTTTACCAATGTCCGAAGAACTTGGCACGCATGTTAAGCCAGAAAATGTCGAATCACAGCAAGTCGACTCCCTTGAATTCGAGAACTTGAGTATTAGTGAAAAACTGGAAACAGCAAGAGAGCTTATAGGCAACACAGCAGTGGTTGGAGAAGTAGTCAAGCCATATGGGCCCTTAATTAATTCACTCACTGATTCGATCAGAAGAATTTATAATTCATGCGAATACGCTCAATATAACAGAAAAATTAGCAATGCCTTGTTGGACAGAGTGGATTGCGTAGCGGCGCCAGTGAAATCATTGAAAAGACGCAAAGACAAAATCGAAAATTTTCTCAATCAGGACTATTATAATGCGTTAATACGCCTTCTTGCAATATTGAAAAAAACTCAACAGTTTATTACGGACGTATCCTTCCTTTGGAGTCTACGCAAATTCCCTACAACGAAATCAATTAAAGAAAGATTCGAGAGAATCTCGAAAGAATTCGATATTGTTATTAGGGATCTAAACCTTGAGGTACGGCAAGACGTAGAATTACAAAAGAAAAAAGATGATCGTGCATTACATGCGGATATTTCCGTATTAAATGAGGTAAATTATAATCTAAAAGATGTGTCCTATTTTGTGTGAGAGGGATTTTTTTTTAAAAAAAAAATTTTTTTTTTCGGTGCTCAACAGTTTCTTGAAAATATCGGAAGCCCCATAACTCCGAAAAAAAAGCAAATAAGCCCAATCTTTGAGGAGATAATATTGATTAAATCACACATTAATGAGAACAACAGTAGCGAGATAAAGTTGACACAGATACCGCCCAACGAGTTGATTAACATTACCCGTCCCAAGGCCAACGATCGATATGGAAATGTCATAAGACGATGGTGGCAGACGGCTGAAAAACTTGTGGCATGCAAACTTCTCGAAACTCCGCAAACTCAAAAATTCTTGGATCAGCTTGTACTTTTAAATAAGCTAAATAGTTGTTCTAGTTTGATTAGATTTTATGGACTGTCGTCTTTTGACTGGGGTCCCATATCGACCACCGCCATAGTTTATGAATGGGCCGAGATGGGAAATTTGAAAATCCTGTACGAAAAATTTGATATCGATTTGCCAACCACATTTGAAATTTCGGTTGGGATCTGCCGCGGTCTTTTATTTCTGCATGGGTGTGATATTATGCATCAAGATGTTAGATGCGAAAACATTATGGTAAGCTCCCTTTTGATTTCCCTATTCGGAAGCACAGGCTTAAAAACTATCGGTTATGACAGATCAATGGAGCACTGGAGCCCAAAATTGCGAATTTTAGATTGTGCCGTCCAACACACGATGATAAGGAATCGAATGTATCTGATCCTCATGAACATTGGATGGCTCCAGAATTATTTCGTAATGAAAAGAGGCCAACATACTATACTTATAAATGCGATGTGTTCAGGTAATTACTTTTATGATGATCGGTTATTAATGAACCGATGGTTAACTATTATGTGCTCATTGTAGTTTCGGAATGCTTTTGTGGGAACTTGCACACAGAAGAATTCCATATCGGGGGTGGGATGAAACAAAGATCGCAAATCATGTATTAGCCGGAAACAGAGAAAGAGTTAACATTGGTCCATATTTAAATAGTTCTCAAATAGATTTTGCTAAAATCTTCAGAGCCGGTAAAAATATTCAGAGAATCGAATACATTGTATATACGTTGCTTATTCACCCTACTCTATTGTTTTCAAAATAGCATGGCAAGATGATCCTCTCCTTCGTCCTGGTCTTTATAAAATGTTTTTGGATCTTGAGCTGTTACATAGAAAAAATCCCAGGGATGGTGAATTAAAACCTCTCAAGTATAATGATGATGATGAGGTGATTGCTGTCTTTCCGGAAGTTGAATCCAACATAGGTGTTATCGAAGATGATTTATTTGGTCCCAACACCAAAATCCTGTTTCCAGTAAGACCAATACTTAAATTGTCAGATGGTATAAAGGCCCATGAACAAAAAGATGAACAAAAAGCCTGGGAATGTTTTAATTATCATGCCTCAATTAACAATCCTCATGCAAAATATTGGAAAGGATTCTATTTGTGGGAAGGAATATACGTTAATAAAGACCGTGAGCTAGCCGGTAAACTCTTAAAGGAAGCTGCAGATCAAGATGACTCAAAAGCACAATTTTTTTATGCCTCTTCATTAGTTGAAGAGGGTGAGTTGAACGATGCTTCAGAGTTTCTACATTATATGTCATGTGCTGCAAATAATAATAACTTGGATGCACTGTATCATATGGGTGAAATTTATCTGGACGGAAAATATAAATTTAAAAAGGACAGGGAAAAGGCGACACAGTATTTAAAGTTGGCGGCATTAAAAGAAGACCAAAGGGCTATCCATCGCCTGGAAGAACTCGGAATAAAACTGTACGAATGGGATTAGAATCGATTGAATTTAATAAAAGCTCAGTCAGTTATTATTTATAAGTGTTATTTATAAATAATTTGATGTTTCAGACGAAGTCGAATTGAAATTAAGTTTTTCAGTTGCAAGAAAAAAATTTTTTGTAAAAACTTTGTAAATATTTAGAACATTTGCAAATTTATTAATTAAGTTGGGGCATCAATTACAAATAATAAAAACGAAATTTTAATAAATTTGATATTTTTTGATTTAAATATAACTGTATTAAAAGTTTTTTTAACTGTTATATTTATTATTTTACCATTTGAAATATTTATATTATAAAAGATATTACCAGGAAAAACTTTAGTAATACGAGACAAAATTAATAATACGAGGCATTTTCAATTCAAGTATTTTTACCAATATAAAAATTTAATTAATCTTCCCCTAAATATAAGTAATGACTTAACCTTTAACTTTTCATTAGAAGAATTCTCTAAAAGTTTTATGTAATATGGTAAGAAACATTATTTCTTTAGATAGTCCATACAAAAAATTATTAGATCATTTATCGAATGAATAATTCTGGTGTCTCATTTTCTACGAACAAGTCTTCTTTACAGTTTCATTCCATTCATGTAATTTCTGCCTCATACCATCAATCTGATTTCTATCCAGTACACGTGGTTGAACCCACATCACTACGACTTTTTCATCAACTTGGTACGGACCAATTTGAGGGAAAGCGCTTTCATAACTAATATTTCACCTTTGTGATGCAAATTTTATTAATATTAAAAGTTGAATAAATAAAATGTTATGCGTGAAGGTAGTACATACTTTGTCTATAGGTAATCTAGTTTCCGCGGCGATTTCTTCAAATGGTATCGTTCTATTATCGGCGCTTCTTTTGAATACCGCTTTAATTAACGACATACTGTATATATATTTTCAATGCGTATCATTTCATTTACCCGTTGTGAAAGTTAACTACTAACTTCTCGAATCTTCCAATATCATCAGCATTAAATGAAAATAGCAAATTTTTAAGCCATTCGTGGGAAGTATTTGATAAGACATCAAGTATCGAGTGCATTAACTTATTAATCAACAAAGTCGCAGTATTTATTAATTTAATGAAAAACTTTCGCTCAAGTTAAAGCATATAGAAATATTAACCAAATCGATTCCCCAAAATTATAGATAGTATCCCCCAAGAGAGCACTAATCGCCAAATCATATACTCTTTCAACTTTTTCTTCGGGAGTCAAGTCTTCAAGTTGGATGTACGCGAGAAAGAGCAATGCATTTCTGTATATTCTGCTTTGGCCTAATATTAATAGATAATTAATATCTGATTTATTCGCGTTAGCAATCTTAAAGAAGTTGGTGCATAATTAATCAATTGACTATTTTTTTACCTTATAGAAATCTGCACAAACACGATAAAAACTCGCGTGAATGACTGTCTCCACTGAATCAAATTTTTCGAAAATCTTTTCATCTATAACAGACTTTGTGCCCTCAGCATGAGCTTTATATATACTGTCTCCATCACAGCGTGGACATATGTTTCACGAAAGTCTGGAGTATCAACTTTTCAGACCAATGATGTCAAAAAAGCCGGTGCATCGCTATAGTCTAATAACAAAGATTAGATAACTTACAAAATTTTGAAATGCAAAGATAAGATATATAAATGCCTTACCTCTGAATTGCTTTACGACGCAGTCATTAATTTAAGTTTATTCATTTTATTTTCCAGTCAGATATAAAATTTTGAAAAATTGAATCTGGAAAGGACTCAAAGCAGGTATCGCAAAAAAACTCAATCTTTAAAGTAAATTAGAGCATAACTTGTGATAATTCAAACGTATTTAAATACTCTTGCAGTCCTGGTGAACATTGTTTTCAAATTTCATTTAAAACCATAATCGGATTTTGACCCAAATCCATTTTTTTTGTCTTGTGAAGGAAAAGGCGGAAATATAGTTATAGAGAAGGCAACTTTGGTCACATGATATGACAATCAATTGGAGGGTCATCGAACGCAAGTTACACAATCCATGAATCAAAATTAAAAAACCTTATAAAAATGAAACAGATCTTTATCTACTATATTTATAAGAACTAAAGAAATCTACTTGACTATCAAGAGATAGATAACTTCAATATTAAAAATAATTGAAGACTCTTTCTTATATATATATATATATATATTTTTTTTACCCGTTGTCAGATTAGTTATGTGTACTTTATTAAACATAATGTAGGCTATACTATTACAGTGTCACTAAAGTTAAAACGCTAACTAACTCACTCGTCTTAGTTTATTGTTAAACTCTAAGTGCAACTTTAGGAGTGATTTGTTACTCCATTTATAGTTTGGGTAAATACCCTTCTACTATAAATATCATTGCCTACAGTCACTGCTGCAAATCACTGATCAAAGTTCTGATCAAGCCTAAAACCCAACCATTTCATCCCACTTTTAACCCCCATTATTATCATTCTTGTTAAACCTTTTCCCGGACAT